CCAACCCACGGGAAAGATTGTGTTCAGATGTTTAGATCTTTAATTAATGTTCTGTATACTAGAGATACAAGTTCAAAAATTCAAACTTCAAGTTTTCCTTTACTAGAGTTGCAAATTGAAAAATCAGAATTTCCTTGAGGTTTTAGATTCAATTTATCCTATTTGTAAATTTTGTATTTTTAAGTAAAAAAAGAAAAAAACATACCTCTTGAGGCCTTTGAAAAACATTTGATCAACTCAAATGGAAGACTAAATCCCCTTTACTTAACAATTAGTCCTACTGAGAAAGACCTTTAGATACATTCCCTTAAACATTTAAATTGAATCTATAAATTTGGTTTATTTAATTTTAAAAATTTGTTACTATTTTTTATTGAGGCAAAATACACATAACATAAAATTTGCCATCATAACCATTTTTAAGTGTATAGTTCAGTTAAGTTAAATACATACATAACATCATGCATCAATCACCACCATCTATCTCCATTATTCTTTTCCTTTTGTAAAATGGAAACTTTCTACCCAGTAAACAGTGACTCTTATTTTCACTTTTCTTCCAGCCCCTGGTAATCGCCATTTTTCTTTCTGTTATTATGATTTTGACTATTCTAAGTACTTTATATAAGTGGAATTATGCAGTATTTTTCTTTCTGTGACTGACTTCTTTCACTTAGCATTCTGTTCCCAAAGTTTATCCCTTCCTCCCTCTCCTGGATGTAAGCGATTCTCCTGCCTCAGCCTCCAGAGTAGCTGGAATTACAGGCATGTGGCACCACGCCCAGCTAATTTTTGTATTTTTTAATGGAGACAGGGTTTCTTCATGTTGGTCAGGCTGGTCTCGAACTCCCGACCTCAGGTGATCTGCCCGCCTCAGCCTCCCAAAGTGCTGGGATTACAGGTATGAGCCACTGTGCCTGGCCAATTTCCTTTCTTTAGAAGGCTTAATAGATTCTATTATATGTATATATTGCATTTTGCCTGTCTGTTCATCTCTGGATGGGTACTTGGTTGTGCCCATGTTTTAACTATTGCGAATAATGTTGCTATGAACATGGGGGTGGTCCAAATATCTCTGGGTCCCTGCTTTCACCTTTACCAGATACAGTTAGAAGTGGAATTGCTGGATCATATGGGAATTCTATATTTAAGTTTTTGAAGAATTGCCAGACTGTTTCCACAGTGGTGGCTGTACCATTTTGCACAGTACACAAGGGTTCCAGTTTCTCCACATAATTGCCAACATTTGTTATTTTGTTTTTGTTTTTTTTTGATAGTAGCCATCCTAATGGGTGTGAGTTGGTATCTCATTGTAGTTTTGATTTGCATTTCTCTAATGGTTCCTGATACTGAGTATCTTCATGTGTTTATTGGCCATTTGGATATGTTCTTTGCAGAATTCTCTGTTCAAGTCATTTGCCCATTTTTGAATCTAGTTGTTTGTTTGTTTTTGTTGTTGTTGAGATTTCGGAGTTCTCTATGTATTCTGGATATCAATCCCTTATCAGATACATGATTTGTAAATATATCCTCCCATTCTGTAGGTTGTCTTTTTCTCTGTTGACAGTGTCTTTTGAGGCATACATCTTAAACATTTCAGTAAGTCAAATTTTTCTGTTTTTTCTTTTGTGGCTTGTGTCTTTGATGTCATACACTTGTTATACTTGATTTTTAAAAAGTAGTTAATATATCTGACTAGGAAGGCTTCAAGCCAAATTTTTCCCAGAACTCTATTGGGCTTTCAGTAGTCATCAAATATCTGCCAACCATTGCTAGTCACTGGGGACCTATCTCTGAACAAAACAGAGCAAAGGGCAACAATGAATAAGACAGAAGATGTCCCTTACCCCCATGGAGTTTACATGCTTGTAACTCTAAATTCATTCAACTGTAGCAAAGCTAATAAAGTTTTAAATGAAGAGAATTTCAAGTCAAAATTTTTACACCTTTCAATTTAAGATTGCAAGTCTAAAATCTATTATACATTTGAATTAGAGTCACAACCATATCTGTCTAATTAGTGTCTCTAACCTGTCTGCTATGAAAATACCAAATATACACATTTTAAAAGCCTGATCAAAAAATACTAATGCTATAAAATCGATTTGCTTTATGGTTTATTTAATTCCAACTTTTCTAATATTGAATACTGGGTTACAAAGCTGAGCTTGCTTGATGAACAACTTATGCCCCAGATACATGATTGTCTGAGATCTGAAGCTGGGCCCGGGGACATGGGGGTTGTATATGACCAGAGTGACTCTTTCTATAACGCAGATGGACAGACTGAGCCTGATATTAACAGTGGCCATAATAATAGGGAACTCCATGCTCTTCAGATGGACCTGGTTTCACAATACACTGTTTGCTAGATTTAACCCTTCCCTTCATAGCACTGTTCAGCATTGTCCCAGTTTGAATGGATAAATTACTTCACACCTATACCTACTTTGCTATGTGATCCGATACAGCCAACTCAGCCTAGGGTACCACCTGATTCTTCCACATCAGGCCAGTTGGCCATGAGCACCGGCTCATGTCACCCTCCTGCAAGGTCTGCATTTAGAGGTGGCTGAGTGGAGCTGTCGCTCTCCTCAGATGTCCATCAACTCACCCCCTTTTTTCATAAGAACAATGAATATTTTCTCAGTTTAGCCAAGTGTGATTCAAACTTATTTCCAGAAAATTCTTAGCCCACCTCTTTCTTCAAACAGATTCCCTCTTCTGTATAGGAATTCTAAAAATATCATTGCTTCTTTGATCCAAACCCTTCAGCAGTTCACACTGTGCTTGGAATCGAATAGAAAACGTTTACCGTGGCCTGCAAGTCCCAGCACGATCTGGTTCTGCACTCCTTCCATGACCTCATCACAAACCTCTCTCTTCTTGTGCTCCAATTTCAGCCACAGTGGCCTTTTTTCCACTTCTTCCAGCAGAAGTCAAGATTCCTTCTACCCCAGGGCCTTTGCGTAGACTGCTCCCCTTTTCTGAAACACCATCTCCTCCACTCTTTGCTTGGGTGACTCCTCATGCTGCACGTCTCAGCTCAACTGTCATTTCTTCGAGAGATTATTGTTCTTCCTAGAACTTAGCACAACTTCTGCATGTATTTGCCTACTGTTTCTCTTCCCTGCTAGATTGTTTGCTGCACGGGGTCATGTCTGGTGCTCTGTTTGCTCAGCACCCATCCCAGGGCTCGCATATTCTAGACAGTCAATCATTGTTTGCAGAATGTGCAACTGTCACAGTTGCCACAGCAGTCACCATTAGCCTTAAGTCATAGCTATTATAATCATTCATATAACCACTTTTGGCTCTTGGGAGGTACTGAGTAATTGTTGAATTGAGATATCTAAATGTCACTTCTCCTACAACAAATTAATACAGTTTGTTGTTACCTGTATGGTCCTTTACACCAGCGGTCCCCAAGCTTTTCCACACTGGGGACGAGTTTCGTGGAAGACAGTTGTTCCCTGGACGGGGGGGGGGGGGGGGGGGGGGGGGGGGGGGGGGGGGGGGGGGGGGGGGGGGGGGGGGGGGGGGGGGGGGTGGGGGGGGTAGGGTTGGAGGGCAGATGGTTTCAGGATGATTCGAGTGCATTCTATTTACTGTGCACTTTATTTCTTTTATTATCACGTTGTAATGTATAATGCAATAAGCATACAACTCACCGTCATGTAGAATTGGTGGGAGTCCTGAGCTTGTTTTCCTGCAACTAGACGGTCCCATATGGGGGTGATGGGAGACAGTGCAGATCATCAGGCATTAGATTCTCATAACGAGCGCACGACCTATATTCCTCTAAGCGTGGTTCACAGCAGGGTTCGCGCTGCTCTGAGAATCTAACGCCGCCACCAGGAGAACCTAAGGCGGCCACTAATCTGACTGGAGGCTGAGCTCAGGCGGTAACACCAGCAAGCAATGGGGAGCAGCTGTAAATACAGATGAAGCTTCACTGCCCGTCTCCTGCTATGCTGCCTGGTTCCTAACAGGCCATGGACTAGAAGCTGCATGGGGTCCATAAATATCTGTGGGGTATGTGGCCTGGGAATTGGGGATACCTGCTTTATACAGTTAGCTTTCTATAACTTCTAAAGCTGTAATCGTTCTGTTCTTAGCAGTTCTCTTGCAGGAAAGAAGACATTGAACTAAATGTGCCTTTTGGGGGACTATCTTTCCTAATGAAAAAAACAACCACAGAACATTAATGAATTGGTTGACAGTTAGTAATACATTTTGATTACGTGAATATCAATTCCATAGCCTACTTAGTGATTATTTATTTATTTACCCTGGGTATCCCAAGAGGTAGTACAGTGGCCCCAGGTAATAGAGGGTGGTCTTGAGAATTGAAGGAAGCTCTAATTCTAGATTTTATAATGCCTGTGACAACGCCATCCTGCGCTGCCTGCTTCTCCAAGATCCCTGCTACCCCGCTCCAAGAATTCAAGCCGTGGAATAGCACCAGATTGTGTTAGAACTTCCTGAATCCTAACCAGTTAGAACCCACTGGCTTGTTTTTGCGCTATCAGCCTGTTAAAAGCATATCCTCATAAAGATGTAATAGCCCTGTCTCTGCATCTAGGCACCTGTGAATATGAAACAACAGTATAAATACGATTTTGAACGTTGCATTGTCACAGATGAAAAATTGCACAAACATGTCAAAATGCAGTGCCGAAGAAGGAAATCAGACTTATTTTCGTCGCTATTTACTGTACCAAAGCATTTTTGGAAACCAAAATCGGGGAGATAACCGTTTTTGAATGAACGGCAGTGGCAGAGCGTGGTCGGGGTTAGCAGCAACGTGGCTGGGCGCCTTTAACTCGCCGTAACCTCCAGGGCCCGGGCCGCGTCCCGGGCCCAGCGCCCCGGCCTGTGCGGCGCATTGGCCCCTCCTCCCCTCGCGCGCCGCGCGCATTGTTGTCCTTTAGCGATTGGTGGTTGGACCAGAAACAGCTGTGCAGAGTCGTGCCGTGTAAAGGGCTGTGGACCTGAATGCAGTGTAGCCGGCTGGCGGTGACTTACACCCGGGCTCCAGAGGGAGAGAGAAAGAGCTGCAGGCCGCTGGCATTGCGTCTTCCAGGCTGCGTGGACCCGGCGCCCCGGCGTTGGCGTTTGGGGAGCTCGCCGTGGCGCCCCCTCCCGCTGGCTCTAGCTTCCTCTGGGCTTGGCGCAGGTGGGCCAGGTTGGGCACCGCGGATCTGCCCGTTCCCACGAAGGCTGGCTCGCCGTCTCTCTGCGAGGGGGTGGGACCATCCTAAAAATTTGTAAATATCCAAGCGCCGGCTCCAGGCTGGGGCAGCAGCCAAGGTCCCTGCGCCGCCGCCGGTGCTTTACATGAAAATGAGAAGCCTGTCGGGAACCGCGCTCTAACTTAAGGCAGCCTGGTGATTAGCATGAGACTGGGCGGCTGTCCTGCTTCCTGCCCTTCAATAGCCGTTCCGCGCGCTCGCGCCCGAGCCGCGCTGCCACCGCGCGGGGGTCGATCGCAGGCTCGGCGTCCTTGGCAGCCATGGCTCCGTCGCCGCCTCGGCCAGTAAATAGGAGCACGCTTGTGTAGGGGGCACATGCGTGTCGGCGCACCCACCCAGCCACCCACCCGCGCGCACGCACAGCGCCCGGAGCCTCGGCAGGAGGAAGATTGACGAGGCGCTGCAGTCGCGGGGACGGCACGGGCTCTTCCTGGATTCCGCAGGAGCCCGCCCGCCGCAGCTGCTGTCTGCAGAGCCTGCACGGAGCCGGTGCACACGCGCCCCCGGCTCGAGCCTCTGTGATGAAGACTGCCTCCCGGGGGCTGCGGGGGAGGCAGAGCCAGCCAGCGCCGGGGACTGCGGGCCGCGCGGCCGGTAGGCCCGCGGGGACACGACTCGGACACTGTCATCCCCACGCCGCGCGCTGAGCCGCCCGCCCCTCCGGCCTCCCGCACGCCCGGTCCGGGGTCAGCCCCGGAGGCCTCGGCTGCCTCATTTGTTTGGGTCTTTTGTGCCGTGGCTCCCAGTTGGCTAAGCACTCCTGCGCTGAATCGGGCCATTGTCTGCGCTCCCATTGCCTTCACGCTGCCAGTCTCGGCGCCCCCACCCCGCCCGCCCCCTCCCCGCCTCCTCCCGGCCGGGGAGCCTCCTAACGTGCCTTTCCCCCCAGGAATCTGGAAGCTATAAGCCGGGCGCATTGCAAATGAAGTGTAATGCATTGTGGGACGTGTGTAAAATCGGAGCCTTCGCCGTGGGGGTGTGGGGGGGCGTGGGGAGGGCCGGACCCGCCGCTGGCGGTGTAGACGCCGACGAGGAGGGGCTGCGAAAATGTGCGCAGAGTCCGCCCGGGTCGTGCCCGCCGTAGACTGATGAAGGAGCGCGCTGCGCCCCGGCGCTGAGGCCCCGAGGATCGGGGCGGCAGGTCACCCTCCCCACCATGAAGAAGACCCGGAGCACAACCTTGCGGCGAGCCTGGCCTAGCTCGGATTTCTCGGACCGGGCCTCGGACCGCATGAGGTCCCGCAGCGAGAAGGACTACCGCCTGCACAAGCGCTTCCCCGCGGCCTTCGCGCCCCAGGCTTCGCGGGGCTACATGACATCAGGTTGGTTGGTGACCGCGTTTCTGCCCCCGGGCCGGGGCCACGGGGCGGGCTCGGTACGCCGCGGCCCGGGTGCTTGGAAGAGAGGTCGGGCAGTGATGGATGCGATAAGTTATGGGGAAAGCAGGAAAAAATTAGCTCCCATCCACCATTTTGTACCTCCGCAAGATCCACAGCAGGCCCTCTCAATATGGGGTTGGAGAGCTGTTAGGTAAAACGAGGGAGCGGGGACGAGCCGGGCGTTTTGGCTGCAGGGAGATAAATGACTGGGAGCCCTGGCGCTGCAGCCTCCTTGAGCTTTGTGGAGGATCCCGCGCCCAGGGCTGCCTGCGGTGCCAGGCTTGCGGGCTGCTGCATTGTGGCTGGTTATCTGAGTGGGTATTCCCAGCAGTCCCCTGCTTTCCAAAAGGGACAGGTTCCATGCGCGGCTCTGGATGGGCTGAGTCGGGAGCGTCCTGCAGACCTCGCAGGCTCCTCTGATTTGCACGCAGAGAAGGGGTTGGAGCTCGCCGAATGCGTCCTGTGGGGGTAATGGTGCGGATGCTGATCGAATGCTCACATGATTCTGTGTGGATTTAACATATGTTGCTTTGAATTAGGCTGTATGGGAAGAATGGAGGCTGTATCATGTATTTGCATGTCATACGGGAAGGACAAACAAAATGGTAAATGGAAAGGGGAGGCTTGAAAACAGATTTCCGCTTAAAATGCAGTGCTGTGAAAAGCCTCCCTGAAGGAGCCAGTTCTTTTTTTGGAAATTCAACGGGATGGCTTTGGTTTGATTTGGGAACCCAGGGATGAAATTCTTGAGGGAAATGCTGAAGGAGGAAAAGCCTGGAAACCTTCGGTTGCCTTCCCCTTACTTCTTAACTACTTGTATGTAATGATGTGTAAGGCATTGGGTTTTCTTTAGTTTTCATTCAGAGGAAAAATTTGATTTTCTTCTAAGCACCCTGTAATGGAAGAACCGAGATTTTATTTTAAGCCACATGCTGTAGCAAATCACCCTGCGCTCTGTCTTAACTGGGAAGATCGTTTTAAGCTTGTGGTTGGTACTTAGAGTCTCGCTTTACTGTCTTTCTCCTAAAACAGCAAGGCCTTTTTCACTGGGGTCAGCATCTCATGCTTCAAAAATGCCTTGCGACCACATTTCCACGAACATAAAGCCTAAATAAAAGAACCATCTTTTTTATTGCAAAATCAGGCGACGTAAGGATGTTGTACTATTTTGGCAATAAGGCTCCCTTGATTTTCCCTTTCATGAAAAGCCAAATTTGTAAAGGCACTGACAGCTACAGTTTACCCCTCAGTCATTTAAGTCACTGCTGTGGTTGCTATATTCTTCAGACTTGTGGCAGTAAATTTTGAAGCACACCTAAATCCAAACCTAACCTCAAAACAGTATGTACATAAACCCATGTGAGATAATCCTGGGTTTCATGTACTTAGGGTTTGAATGTCTTCATTCCACACTTCACAGTTCCCCTTTCTTATACCTCCTAAGGAACCAGTCCTGATACCAAGGGTGAAACCATACTAGGGCTGGTGGCCATCATTTCTTCCACAAACCTGCAAGACTCTCTGTTTCATAATTTCAGGCTCATTTCTGGGGAGCTGGTTTTTTTTTTTTTTAATCTATCTTGGCATTACCTCATTATCACATTTTCATTCTTTGCAAAAGAACTCGTCTGCTGTTGCAGGTACTGCAAGGCATTTTTGAGGGCTTGAGGAAGAAGCTCTTAATTGTATCTGATTCCATTATTTCATTTCTTGAGCTGCAAATGGTAACTTGGTCCCATGGTGATTATGGAGGATAACCTGTTTCAGGTTGGCCGTTTTCTGTTCGGATTCAATGTTAGGATGCTGCTGAGAAACCTGAAGACCGAAAGATGGAAGAAAAGTGCTGTCATTCATTCAGCATTTTGTGGAGTGCCCCCAAAGAGCAAAGTGCCTTGTTGGATTCTCATGGGGTTTCAGGACTGGATATAACATGGTTTTTGCCCAGGGAGGGAGGTTTATCGTTTATTCTCGATTTTGAATGTTAGCTAATACATGGAATAAGAAGCAGGTGTTGATGCTATGGAAGGAAATAGTAAACACGAAGACAAACACCTACCATGAACATTGGGAGAACAGGTGGAGTCTTTCTCAGGTGGAACTTTTTTGGGCATTGGATTGGGAAGGATGTTTATCTTCATCTATTTCCTTTACAAATATGGCTCCTTTCAACATATGAGTATTGATAGAAATAGATGGTATATTGAAACACTTGGAAATGATTTGTGAGATGTTCTCATCCTTTTAAGAAATGTAAAGGAAATCTACTTTTATCAAGTTAGTGACTCTGGATGCAGAGCCTTTGTCACATAAAATAAAGTAGAAAATGAAACCACTTAGAAACACATGAGGCCTTTCATATTTCTTGTTTGTCCAGCCATTTGGTTTAATTACTACTGGTTTTCTCATACTTGATTTTTAATAAGAAGGGTTTTTGTTGTGGGTAAATTACTTGGGTTCAAAGGACAAGATAAGCCTTTCAGACATGTACTAAATGACTTAAAATAACTTGTTAAGAGACTATCTTTAGACCCCCTCCTCCAACAAATGTTTCTGAAAATTATAGGCAACAATCACTTAGTTTTAAACTTGAGGACATGAGAGAGCCTTGGGAATTTCAAGAAATAAATGTTAATCATTTTCATTTTGATCTAGCATCCCATATCACACAGTAGGTGCTTGAAGCAGAATTGTAGACGTCAGCAATAGCTTTCTAATGAGACAGCACCATTTCAAACCGTCTTTTCTCCACTAATAAGTAATTACCAGTGTCAAATGTGATTTATAGTAATAGGCTTGACATTTAGCCTTGGCCTTTCCTATACCTTCAGGATAAACTGCACTTAAGCTCAAGAGGTTAGAGCAGGCACCTATAAACTAGTGAGGTCTTGGGAAGGACAGTTAGAGGATTCTGAAACTTTAAGTCTTGAAGACTATGCCTTCTATGACTGTTTAAGCTCCCAACTCATGCTACCAAATCTAAAGAAATCCTAAGAATTCATGAGCTTCCTAGCAACCGGTAAGTTCACAGGCCATGAGATGAGTTCATTGTTCATCTTGAATATTAATTTCCCAACGGTGGTTTCTGGGCAGAAAGGGGAAGATCTTACCTTTTGTTCAAATCAAGATGAATAATAAAAAGTACATGGCATCATCTTAAGAAGAAAAGGGATTGGACCAAATGGATGTGGGGTGATTCTTGTGCATTTTCTAAAACTAGAAGTTACACTATTAATGAACTAGAGACAAAAGTAAAATTCCCCGCAATGGAGTAAATCTGTGTAACGAACAATTAGTACTTTATATATGAAAACATGCTAATTTGTCTCTGTGAAATGATTTTCAAGGCCCCAGACCTTTTGTTGATAGGACTTTCTCTGTTTAAATTATGTGAACTGTGATCTTTTCACACGAATGATGCTGTTGACTTTTAATTTTCTTTACTCTGCCATCCCCCAGCCCTGGGGCTGGGTGCCTCTTTATATTCCACATATAATGCCAGTAGAGTTTTGGGGACATTCTTGTTGATCAAGTACGGAAAGTAATTTTTTCACCATACGGCTTCTACAGAACGTGATCCTTAAAAGCTTTGTTTATGAATGAGAAAGCAAAGTCCTGGCCCATTTTAGTTTGATACTTGTCATTTTCATAACATCTTTGAGGAGTAAAGCCTGCGTTTTAAATACTGTGGTTTTAAAGGCGTTGAAAAGAAAGATGAAACAAAATCCCTATACTGACATTGCAAGAAAATTGGAAGCAGTTTTTTCTGCTGGGGAAGCATGGCCAGCACGTCACCTTGATTCGTTTATTAGTTTTCATTTTATAGAAACTAATTCTGGGGCACGTTTGACTGTGTGTTCCAGTTCCTCATGTTCTGTTATTTTAAGAGACATGAGGTTTTTCTGGGAGTGGAGGATGGACACTGGAGGTTCTAATCTGGGCCTGCCACGAACCAGCTGTGTCCCTGGCGAGTAATATGACCTCCCTCCATCTGTAACGAGTTCTCCACTTCCATGCTGCCATTACAGAATTGGGGTCCATAGTTGCTCTGTAATCAGCAAGTGCAAGACTTCTGAACCCTTACACATATGTGGTTAAGACAAAACCTCTGCCCTCTTCTATTTTCTGGAGTCAGGTGCCTCCCGTGTGTGGGAATAGTGCTCATTTTACAATACAGTCCTATTCCCTATCATCCTGAAATGTTACATTAAATGTATGCATTTTAGGACTCGCCCTGGTGACCAGAGTAATGGAGGGGGGGAAATAAATTAAGATCTGGCCAGTTATAATCATATGCAAGTTTTAATAAACAGCATCCTGTCACATCCCTTTCCTGCTTTGCAGAGATCCATTTTCAGCCCAGCCGCTCCAACTGTGTTTTAATTTGAAACTACCTATGTTGACTCCTTTCATCAGGCAAGTGGAAGTGGGGAATATTACACTTGGTGGTGAATGACTTTATTCTTTATTTCCCTGGAGAACATGAGCGGGCTTACAAAAGGTCACCTCTCTTGGTATTTCAATATTTTTTACATTCTTTCCAATGTTTTTATTTGGGAAAAAAAAAGGAATATGAGTATATTGAATAAAAACCTTAGCACTTCTGCACCTCCAGAGCAATTCTGGCCTTAAATACCCTATGCTCAGAGGCTTAGGACGATTCAGACAATGGTATATTCTTTGGTACAGGATTGCTTATGCCGAGTGCAGGTTGTAACTAAAAGCAAAATCTGCTTGGACCCTTGCCAGTGGGCAACATGCTAACTTTTGAATTTAGGACATGCTTTTGTAGATCAGTCGTAGAGAGTGTGTGCTGCCTCACCCACAAGGTATAAAGCGGAGGTTCTCGCTTGTGAGAGTATAGATACAGTCTACTCCAAACTGACCGCAGCCGTAGTGGCACAAGGAAGAAAGGACATGGGTAGTTTTTTAAATAGGGAGTAAAC